TTATTATTAATATACATAAGGATGTTTGTTGCATCATTGTTTATGATATCAAAAGTTGGAAAAAGCTAAATGTCCATCATTAGAAAATTAATTCAATAAATAATGATAGAATGGAATATAGTATAGTCTTTGAGAAAGCAAAGGTTGATCTTTTTGTATTAATAAAGTTGTGTGTATTGATATATAAAACCATATTTTGTTTTATTTATGACCAAAAAACTTCACTTGTCTAATACATATTTGTGTGCCAGACGCTGTTGTAAATATATCACAGATATTAACACATTTGTTCCTCAGCATGGTCTGTGGGAAGGGAAGGGGAAGGAAGGGGAGGGGAGGGGAGGGGAGGGAAGGGGAGGGGAGAGAAAGGAAGTACTCCAAACGTAAAATACTCCAAAGCCCATATTCTTAAACACTGCACTCTCCTGCTCATGAAAAAACAGACAGACAAACAAATGTTTTCAAGTTTATGATCTCACTCATGTGTGTGTGTGTGTATTTTGATAAAAATATACAGGATGAAGTTTCAACAGTGGTTCTTTCTAGAAGTGGAGATTCATTGACACCAGTCATGTATTAGCAATAAAACAAAATTATGCAGCCAATGGAAAAATAAACTGTAACTTGGGGAAGCGTGACAGTTGCTTGGTCCCCTGTCCTCTCCTCATCTAAGGGTTATTATCCTTGGGGTGCTCCAACAGAGGCAGGTCTGACCCTGGGCCTTCCCCACATCTGCCGGCCTTTCCTTCGCCAAGATGCAGAAACAATGTGCCTCTTGTGAGACTCACAGTGAATCCAGGAGGCTGGACCAAGAAGAATGTGACACAGGGTAGTAGCAAAAGCACCAAATTGGGAGTTAGGCAATGTGGACCCTTTTAGCCAGCCAGGTGAGTCCAGGCACATCCTTTACCTCCCTGGGAGTCAGCACCTTATGGGAAAATGAATGAGCCTCCAGCATCTTATGGACCTTCAGAAAGAAACTCACTGGTGAGGCTACAAAAAAACAGCATGTAAATAAAGCTCTGAGCATCGAGCCTGTTGCGTGGTAGGTGCTCCAAGGGTGACAGCTATTGTGTTGTCATTGTGATTCTTCACTGAAAAGTAACTTCTCAGTGAAATGCAGACATGAGGATGAAGGGAGATGGACCACAAGAGAGCTACAGATCGGGGTTTGTGCACTTCAGAAAATCTTCTCAACCGATAAATTTAGTCCAATCTCTGGGTGGGCTAGGCTCAGAACTTGTTTTCTTGGTCAAATCTCTGCTCCCTTCTGAACGGGCTTCATAATAACATGACACTTCCATTTCTCAAAGCACACTGTTTAGCCACCTTATGATATAGGATCAAGTCAAGAAACTGGAAAGAAGCAAACAAAAATTAAAGATCTTCCTATTGTACCAAATGCAATCATTGAAATTCATGACTGTCACAGGAAAAAATATTTCGTTCCTAATAATACTAAGCTATCATTTTAATAATAACTCATATTTATTGCATATTTATTATACTCCAATCCCCATTGGGTGCTTGATGTATATTATTTCATTTAACCTTCTCAGTAATATCCTGGAGTAAGTATTATTTCCATTTCCTTTTACAGGTACACAGAAATTAAATAATTTGCCCAGGATAACAAAGCCAGAGTTTTGACACTTATTCTTGTTACACCTTGTTAACAGGTTTCACAAGCCAATAGAAACAGCAGAGTAGAATGACGGCAAGGTGCCCCCACAAGCTAAAGTGACAGCTGGAGGACACAGAAAAGCTGTAAAAGCAGACACCAAACCTCCCAGACCATCATCCTCAGGGTCGTGAGGCGGGAGGGCACAGTCATTGAGAGGAAGAAGAATAGCCTGCGGGTGCATTGTGCTTTAGGGTTTACAGAGCACTTTTGCACATTCTATTTTATTTGAGCCTGAGTCAATAAAAAAAAGTGCAATTCAATTTGGTATCTTCTGTTTGGAACTGAGGATGTGTGCGATGCATTTGAGGAAGTATGATGGATATTTTTGAAAACTTGTGGCTTTAAAGGAGTGGGAAAGATATCTATTACTTGGAACATTAATTTTGGTAAATAACTTGATACACCAAGTTACAAGGTGCCTGACACGTATAAGGAGATGTCCTTCCCAGCTGGGGGCCAGCAGCAGTGAGCTATTATATTTGGTATTATATATGTTATATATAAAGTGAGCTTCTTCAGAGTTTAAATCAAGAGTGGGAAACTAGTTTTAGTAAAATCACCCTCAACCCTCCCTCATTCTTAGCTATTAATCATGGCGGTTTCCTTCCTTCTTTCCTTCCTCGCCTCCTTTCCTCCTTCCTTTCTTTTCTTTTCTTTCTTCCTCTTTCCTTCTGTCTCTCTTTCTTTCCTTCCTTCCTTCCCTCTTTCTCTCCTTTATTTTCTTTTCCTTCCTTTCTTCCTTTTTTCCTTCCTTCCCTTCCTTCCTTCTTCCCTCCCTCCCTCCCTCCTTCCCTCCCTCCCTCCCTCTCTCTCTCTCTTTCTTTCTTTCTTTCTTTTTCTTTCTTTCTTTCTTTCTTTCTTTCTTTCTTTCTTTCTTTCTTTCTTTCTTTCTTTCTTTCTTCTTTTTCTTTCTCTGTCTCTTCCTCTCTTCCTCTTTCTTTTTTTACTTCTTTTCTCCCCTGGCTCCCTCTCCTCTTCTTCCTCCCTCCTTCTTCCCTCCTTTCTCTATCTCCCCTTCCCTCCCTCCCTCCCTCCCTCCATCCTTTTCATTTCTCTTCTTTTTTTTCTCTCTGATGATGTCTAAGGCTGGAGGCTGGCAGACAGAAAAGTGCAGGAAGACATGGGTATGAAGCCACAGAGGACCTGGGTGAAATCTCCTGGCAAATTTGTGAGGCAAGAGGGTCTGGCTCTGGACTCTCCCTGAAAACACAGCGGGAACCCTTTGGGATGCTCTAGGCTCCCATCTACTCAGGATGCCAACTAGCCCCGCAGCCCCTTCCGGACCCAGAGGCCTCTTAGTCGCTCGTGGGGTTTGGGGGAGGAACGCTCCAGCACCCAGTCTCTCTTGGGCTCTGCTCCACAGCCTGGCCATAATTTACTGGTGGGGGTCCCAGGCCGAGGAGGCACTGTATCTCTTGTTTTCAGGGTAATTTACAAGGCAGGTTGCCCTGGTGGTCACCTTCCCCTCTGCTCAAGGAGGTGAACACAATGTCTCCATCTTGGTCGCCACGGAAAGGGCACTTTCTCCAAGGGCGCCATGAATTGGCCGCCTGCGCCCCTGACAGGCAGGGGGGCGATTATCTGGGCTGATGAGAGCCATTAACAAAATGGAGTGTGCCATCTTCACAGCACAAACGTCGCCCTGACCATAATACCCTCTTAAGGAGACCTCAAGTGGCCCAGTCTTGTCACCGGCTCTCCCAGGCACACCACCAATCGTTTGTCACGGCTGCTGGTATTTGAGGGAGGAGAGGGCAAGAGAAAAGCAGGACCTGAGAGCATCACAAGAGATCTCCGCCCTGTGGCCTATTGTACTTCATCTTGGAGACAAAGAAGCCCCCAAGCCTTTCTCCAGCAAGTTGCTTCAGCTTCATCAATAAATCAGAGGCCGGAGAAAGCCATTCAGATGTGGCTGAGGCCTCCTGAAGGCTCTCTCCTTAGAGCCACTTTCTGGAATATGTAGGATAGGAGAGATTTTGTTTTAATTCTCCCCGCCCCGCATTCTTTGTCACTTTTCTCCTTTCTGTCCCCTCGGTGTGGAACAGAAGATGCGTTTGTAGGCCTGAATCGGGGGGATTGTTCCAATCATCAGACCATTCACGCCCGCCCCTCCCCTGTTGTAAAACACAAGCCCGGGCCGGGGAACAGCGGCCCCATTGTGCGGCGCCCATGCCACCCAGATTTCACCTCAGCCTTCGCGGAGCCCCTGTTTTGTTTCCAGTCAAAAGAAAGCATTTGCTCAGGGGAGGGGCGGGGTGTTCCTATTGCTTCCACGAACAGAGAGGTTAAAGGAAAGATTGATGGGAGAAAGTTCACCTAGAAAACCAGGATACATTTCTGGCCGGCCAAGGCCAGTTGTTTCATTGTCCTGGGGCCATGTTTTTTGTTAATTATCTCCCACTCTCTCCTTTTATCAAGGAGAAAAGTAGCAAAGCAGGCAGAAAGGAACAGGATATAGGGGTCAGGGGTCCCCCTGGGCCACCTAGGTATTCCATTTGAAATGCTGGGGCGGGCAGGGCCGAGGGTGAGCCTTGCCTGGCTTGGGGTGGAGAAGAGTGGCGGCCACCAAAATAGTAATTAATTTGATCCCGTTACTTATGGGGAAACTTCCCACCCTTCACCCCATTCGCTGGCCTCCCTGTATCCTTGTTCTAACTTCCAGGGCCTTTATCTCCTTTCCAGCTCCAATCCTCTGCCCATTGCCTCCAACGCACATACACACACACACAAACATGCGCACACACGCACACACCCATACACACACAAACACACACACACACACCCATACACACAAACGCACACACACATTCATGCACGCTCACGCACACACATATGCACACACGCACGCACATATGCACCCACACTCGCACACACATATGCACACACGCACGCACACACACGCACCTGCACTGTTTCCTTTTTAATTTTAAGCTCCATGCAACTGTAAGGGTGATTTCAGGAAGGGCGGGGGTAGGGTTGTGGGGGGAACAACGAGAGAAAGGCTAAGAAAGTTGGTCCAAACAAGAACATGTTGTCAAGGAAATAAACCTTGGTGAGGGTAGGCATGAAACCACAGCTGCTGAATTTGGCCAGCCTCAGACGCTGGTGGTAATGACAATGATTCTCAGTGGCAGGGCCCCAGCTCCCAACATAAATAGGGCTCAGCCTGAAAGGGGAGGAAATGGAACAAAACATTTCCTTGGGTACCACTGGCAGAGAAATAACATCAATTTCAATTTGGGGAGGGCGGGAGGCAAAGAATCTGCCTGTTTCCCCACAGTAGCAAAGGCAAATTCATAACTCGCCAACAAAGTACCTTTGAAATGCAGCTGCACTCCACGAACACACTGCCTTTTTCCACCCAGAGAGACAACCCTGTCTTGACGAGAAAGAAGGGGAAAAAGAAAAAAGCACACACTATTGAAAACCCACAAGAGAGGGAAAAAGAAGGGGGGAGGGAAGTTGCTGGGGGCTGCAGGGCAGGGAGGGAGGGGAAATGCATGGATCTTGGCAGATGCAAATGATAAGCTTTACCTAGTATAATGCAACCTTCTTTGCCTTTCCAAGAGGAGGCCTATGATGAATGGCCACACAGATTTTCGGGAGAGAGACTGCACTCAGGCAGCTGGTGGCCAAAGGCAGCCATGTGGCCAGGAAGGAAGGCCGCTGGACAGGCCCTGGCCTCCAGGTACCCCTTGGTGCTCTTGGACTCCAGCGCCTGCAAGGAATGGAGCAGCTGCTGCCTCCTGGGAAGAGAGACTCTGGCGATATCAGAGCCAGGGTCCTAGCAGCCCAGGAATGTGTCTACAAGACAGCACTTTGGGATGAGCGATAGCCGTAAGTTGGGCAAGTCCAGCTTCTACATTTAAGAAAAAGATTTTCAAAGTATGAATATAAAATTAGGCATAAACAAAAATATTCACTTAAAATGAGAAAAGAAATCACAACAAACTACAAAAGTTAAAAGCTGAAAATATCAAACCTTACAGAATCCAGAAATACCGTGTGTATGTGTGTGTGTGTGTGTGTGTGTGTGTGTGTGTGTGTGCACGCACCCATGTTTGTTTAATTAGCATCTGGACACACCTCTACAATACTTTTCCACAGACTGGCTTCTCACCTTACACATTTTAAACCTTGTTTTTCTGCATCACCCAACTGTTTCTGATGCTGGACACCAAAGGATGTGATTTCTGACCCTGCAACCCCCTGTCACCATTCTAGGAACTCCACTCAGTGGGCAACAGGGGTACTCCTGGAAGCCATTTCTATGCCCGGGTGACCAGGAATAATTCAGCCATGGAGAAGTGACAGCAAAGCACACAGATACATCCCACTCACCCAAACCTGCCTCCCAATCCAGCTCCCCTTACCACATCCCAAACATGCTCTCGGCCACTCCAACACGCACAGACACAGGGAAGTAGGAGAGAGAGGAAGGATGTCAGGCTGCAAAGTGTTGAGACAGCATCTTACTGCATTGGGGTTAAAACATCTAACAGATGCAAATTCTACAAAAACATATGACCATGTGAACAGTTGGTGGGGTCCTTCCCAAGTCTTGGAAGATGGTGTGCAAATGAGCATCCTTAAGCTTAAGTTTTATTCCTGTCGCAATCAAGCTGCCTCTGCCCACGTGACTCATGTGGTCAATATCAATGTCTGCAGGTCTGGGTGCCGATCACCTTGACAGTGCCTGTCCTCCATGGAGCCTTTCCTGATGCTCTCCAGGGAGAAATCCCTGGGCCTTACTAGGGTGCTCCTAATGTTCCACACTGCACAGCCCTTACTGGGGTCCCAGGGCTACAGGACATGGACTGGATCATGTTCCCACATAAGCACCCATAGCAACAATTGGAATGCCTAGCACAACATGAGACTCAATAAATATGCATTGAGAAAAAAAGAGAACAGGCACAGTGGCCCACGCCTGTTATCCTAGCGCTTTGGGAGGCCGAAGCAGGCAGATTGCTTGAGTTCAGGAGTTTGAGACCAGCCTGGTCAACATGGTGAAACCCCGTCTTTACTAAAAATACAAAAATTAACTGGGCGTGGTGACAGGTACCTGTAGTCCCAGGAGGCACCTGGGAGGCAGGAGAATTTCTTGAACCTGGGAGGCGGAGGTTGCAGTGAGCTGAGATTGCACCACTGCACTCCAGCCTGGGCAACAGAGTGAGACTCCATCTCAAAAAAAAAAAAAAAAAAAAAAAAGAAAGAAAGAAAGAAAAGAAAAGAAAAGAAAAAAGGGAACATATGAGCTACACTTTGTAAAACCCCAAAGTTAGCTGGCTTACGTGAAGAAGGTTTACACTTCCATGTCCTGCATTGGGGTGAGGCTGGAAGGAGATTCGGGACAAAGTAGCAGTACGGAGAGAAATAATCCACTATAACCAAAATAGTTTCAGTGGTGCTTTCCAAGGTCCAGAAAAGAAATTCCTCATCCCCTAAGTGCCCAGTGACTCTGTCCAGCCATAACCCCATGCTTACCCACAGTGCCTGAGAACCATTTGTTAACTGGAATGTGCTTTACTGAGCATATTTATTAGGGTACTGTGCTCTGGGCTAGGAATTGCCCAGTGAATGATAGGGATAAATGTGAGCATTTTGTAGAAGCTCATATGATCCACCTAGCAATCCAGTCAGGTAGACTCTTTTATTAGTGCCTTAAGGACAAGGAAACAAAGGTCTCAGAGAAGTGACTTGTTCAAGTCACATAGCTATTAGGAGACAGGAGTTGGAATGTGAACCCAGGTGTGCTGGAATACACTGATGAACTCATACCCCAGCTGGGAAGATAGCATGGAAACACAGTATACAGTGGGCTGAGTGCACCAGAGACGTATGTACAGGGTGCTCTCCGAGGCTAGGGGAAGGAGCAGCTGATTTTGCTAGAGAGGAAGACAGGAAGAGACTGGATATTGGGGATATGGTTATGAGTGGGAAGTTTCTCTCTTTCAGCCTTCAGCCTTCCCCTTCCCCAAGGACATAGCTTTGGGGCTAGATGACTTCCCAGCCTGATGTGCAAGTCAGATTCATGAGTGTTCCAACACGGTTTGGAGAAGAAGCACTTGAAATTCCAGTCTTGGTCGTCTCTGTGACTATCAGCGAGGTGCCCTGTTCTCAATCGGCCATTGACACTGGTGGGTCCTCTCTGGAGCTGGACAAGCTGTTTACCAGCCTGCAGGCCCCTCACTCACACAATTCCTCACTCTAAATGAAGGGGCCACTCTGGCAAATTGCCATGTCTTTCTCTAGTTCACCCTTCTCAGTGACTTGACCTTTCCACCCTTCCACTAGCCCTGTGGTTTGGCTAGAAAGAAGCGGCTCCCTAGAAGGGCTGAAGGACTCCAGCTTGACCCCAGCCTGCCCCCATGGGGGTCACCATCAGTGGGACAGTCCAGCAGCAAGCAAGACTGAGGCCACTCACAGCCACAAAGAAGTCAGCAATGAACCAGTTCAGTCACGGGAAGTCCAAGGATACCCGCTTCCGGTGGTTTTTGTTTTGTTTTGTTTTTTTTGACAAAAACACTCTGTTACCCAGGCGAGAGTGCAATGGCGAGACCATGTCTCACAGCAGCCTCGACTTCTCGGGCTCAAGTGATTCTCCCACCTCTCAGCCTCCCGAGGAGCTGGGACTACAGGCATACACCAGCATACCTGGCTAATTTTTTTTTTTTTTTTTTTTAGAGAAATAGAGATAAAGTCTCACTTTGTTGCCCAGGCTGGTCTTGAACCCCATGGGCTCAAGCAATCCACCCTCCTCAGCCTCTCAAAGTGCTGAGATTACAGGTAGAAGCCACTGCACCTGTCGCCCTCTCTGCGGGTTTGATGCTAAATAAAAATATCCCTCCCTTACTTTTCTGATGGCTCTGGGTGCATTTTCTGGCTCTTTTTCTTCTCTTCATTGTGGGTGGTGGTGATGGGAGGTAGGAGCAGATCCAATCTAACGTTTGCACTTCCTGGTTTGTACTTTTCCAATATCAATATGAGACCTTAACATACAAATCTACCTGTTCTTGTGTTTCAGGCACTCATAGCTATAAACACCAAGTACACCCTTCCTGATATGGTGGGGCTGAGAAAGGAAGGCATCGGATGCCCATTCAGTTGGAGTGGATTTACTTCCCAAAGAACACAGTTTCCATGACACTAAGTTTTCTTTGGATCTTCGATTGCATACTCCAAGTGGTCTATGAACGTGCCACATTTGACTCAACCATCCATCCCATAGACTCTCATAGCATGTCTACCCTGTGCAAACCACTGTGTTACAGAAATCCTAAGGCGTCATGTATATGAAATGTTGAAGGAACTGTATTTGAACTGAGCTGGTCACAAAGAATTAGATATTCAGGGCTTTCTTCATTTATCCACGCCGTCTGCAAAGTGCATTGACAGACAACTTACCCATCTCCATGCGTGCAAAGTATTTCCAGAAAACAGAACCAGGCCCCAGGCAAAATTCACAAAGGGAACGAGAGACTCTCGCCCCTGTTATTTTACTTTTACTCCGTTTTCCACTCTTTCCCTATTCAAGATAGCTTGAGACATAGAGGAAAAGCAGAACAACTGTGAAATAATTGGACGTCTTTGCAAGAGGTCAGAGAGAGTCAAATCTTCGCTGCTCAAAATCAGTGCTTTAGGCATTGATAATACAAGTAAGCATTCGTTTCTCTTAGGCTCACTCTTCTAGCAAAGTTTAGAGCTTTGTGAGTTTGTGAATGTATTTATGAAATGAAAACTAAGTTATCTGACTCTGGTGTGCTGATGTTATTCTAGTTGTTCCAGAACTGATTGCTTTGTTCTCAGTATTGAAGCTTAGTGTGCTCACAGATACTCAACATACAAAGGCAATTTACACAACTGAGAAAATATTTAATTCGGCTTTTTTTTTCTGCTTTATTTTCCTTTCTGTTGTATCCTAAGCATTATTAAGTAATCAATGAGTTGTACAGCTACTTATAATAATGCTCCAATGGGCATATAGTTTAATCTCAGCCCATTGAGACTGAAGAAATAAAAATACAGGAAAACCCTATAACTCAATGCCTGATGAGACTGTGGGGAAAGCAGATATATCATTCTTTGAAAACTGGTACAATGCCTTTTGAGGGCATTTGGCAATCAATGCGGGTCAAAGGTCATAAAAATGTTTGTACTCTTTGACCCCGTAATCTCATTCTTTGGAATTTATTTCAAGAAAGTAATTTAAAAGGAGAAATGGTGTATGCATTGATATATTTATAGCAGTGTTATTTATGAGAGTGAAAAGCTGAAAATAACTGAAGTCTTAGCAAAGGGCTACAGATAACAAATTATGGAATATTGGTGTAATGGGATATTATCTATTTACTAAAAATGATAAAGATGATATGTAATTAGGACTGTGGGGAGAAACACAGCATATCTACAGAACTGTCAAAACGGTGTGAAAACAGGACATACATAAATAAAACTCCGAAGTGATGATTTCTTATGATGAAGAAATGAAAACGATTGTAATATAGGATAGTAGGAATCTGGGAAAAAATGTATTTACATTGAAAATGGCATATTTTAACTTTCATTTGACAACAAAGAATAGTTCTAACTCAGGAGAGAGCTTCTAAGGC